TAGCACAAGCGCTCGTGCGCCTAGAAACAGTATTAAATCGACGAATGGTAACACCGACCCCGCGTCAACCCAACGCGCGTCTCTAATGGACGCGGGTTGAACGAACTGGATAATTGGTCTATCTCCTCGCTTGGCGCGCAGCGAAACATCTCAAGAAAGTCCACTTTTTGTAGTCGAACAAACGAGCAGACGAGCCATAATGATAGTCTATCAATAATAATGAAAGGTTAAATTATTTTGAGAACCAAAATTTTTAAAATGTTGCAATTAAATGACAAATATTATTTTTCATTTAATTGTAACATTTCCAAAATGTTTGGTTGATTCATAAGAACATTTAATATATATATATATATATATATATTTAAATGTGCTTATACTTTGATTATATTTTAGTATATTATAATTTTATTTCATTTTCAATAATATTTTTTCTTGGAATTTCAACATACTCGCAACTAATTGGTCGTCTTTAAATTGGAAAATTCGTCCCAGATGTATATATTCCTTGCGGTATATTTATTTGATCCACCAGGGTCAGCCAGGACTCGCAACCCTTAGGGGAATTGGGATGATATATCATAGGTATTTAGGGATGTCAATTCCCGGTCATATTGAGAGAATGGCGAAGAAAAGAATCGTGAGGACCATTAGGGATGAAAGGGGAAGGAGAGAAGTTTGCAGATCAAGGAGATGTAAAGACTCGTTACAATTCTTGGAAAGGAACAAGTCTTAAACTTTTTAAAAAGATGAAGAAGAAGAAGAAGAAGAAGAAGAAGAAGGAGAAGAAGAAGAAGAAGAAGAAGAAGAAGAAGAAGAAGAATTCCCGGCCATAACGTGAGGGGAAAAGTAATCTATAAATTAATTCCGCATCCCATGTCAATTAATTGTGTATTATGTTAAGAGTATCAGTCATCGTAACTTAATATATTACAAAAGAGTCCATGCATGATGAGTTAGCACTTTATTTTACATGATAGGCGTAGGAGTGAGGAGTTCCATTTACTGCGTTGCACTCCGCATTCAGAATTGCATTCGGGGAACGATCACAATATTCGCCCATCCTGCTCCACAAAACTGACTAATAAGTTTGTTTACTGCCTTGCTCCCTCAACCCTTCCTCTCAGTCAAAGCTTCCATTTATTCAGCTTTCCACATTCCATGGATTCCCCGCAGCCCCCCCCCCCTCCAAACGCAGGCATTGAATCCTAATCGCTTCCCGCGCCGACGCAATCCGTCCGCCCGCGGTGGCCGGGCAGCTGAGAGCCGCTCGTGGGTTTTGCGGGGCAGCGGAGCGTGGCCTGGCCGGTAGAGCCTCTCGGCATACGCCCGCGCCCATTGTGCTCTGGAGGGCCCAGCGCGGCCGCGCGCCCAACCTCTCCCGGCAGCCACGCGCTGCGCCCCGCACCCTGCTCCCGGCGTCGTTGCTCCGTCGCTGGCGCGGCCGTTTACGGCGGTTTACGGAGTTGCAGAAACAAAAGAAGGCCGCCACGCGCCGCGCGCTGTCGAGACGTCGGCTGCGGCCGATGAGGCGCAGATGGTCACGCTCTCCGTAGTTATTGTTCGCGGCGTTTTATACCGCTGGAAATGAGTGGAACCATTGATTCTCGAGTACAAACGAAACTATGACTATTGATACGGAGTGACGTCCTTCAAATGTATTCAGAATACAATAAATGATTTGTTACCGGAAAGGGCGCATTGATGAGGTGATGCAGTTTCATGTGTCCTCGAGGTCTAGAAGTGATTGTGATTGTGAGATTGTGAATGTTCTGATAATATTTTTCAATTTTCACATACTTACAATTTGTCCATTTAAGACTTTTGAATTTTAACCCATTATACCTAAAGAAATAATATGAAAATATTATATGTTTTTTCTAATGATAATTATTTGTTTTCTATATATTTAAAAATTAAATTGTCCTCGAACGTTTTAAATGGCAATATTTTAATCCAAGCTATGATATATTTTTGCTATAAAACACTTTAGATAACTTGTAACTTTTGTGTAAATGGCTCATATTATGAAAAGTATTTTTCATTGAATACAAAACTTAATAGATGTTTCTTAAAAACATTCTTTACAACAGTGTTAACAACGAGGAAAGAATAAATATCTGCACATTCGTTCTAATAGACTGAAGGTTGACATTGCACTTTTTATCAGCCTTAATACTAGAATGACATCGTTCACTTTGCTTATGGTACATTTCAGCGTCACCACCTAATGTTTGCTTGTGTTGTGATGTAAATATGGCTGACCCTCTCTCCATTTGCACTCAAAAAAGAACAGGATTTCGTAAGCCGATTTTTGTGACCTGAATGTATTCCAAACGCTGAAATCCTTAGAAGACTTTCGGCACAATGTGAGTGCAATGTTTTTCTTAGACGAAGTGGTTAACAGTGTATTGAACTCTTCCAAAGCAGTCAAAGAAGTGTACAAGTTGTGAAATGAGATAGTTGGCCAGCCTCATCCACTTCTGATCCCAGTAGCTGAGCAGTGATTCTGATATACTGACGAATGGCTAATGATGAAGATGAAGATGACTAATGATGTTGATGAAGTTGCAAATCGTGCGCACGTTAGTGAGGTTCGGCCTATGAAAACACCCAGATGGATTGTTGCAAGACATTCTTTTGTTGCAAGACAACGCGCATCCGTGTTCCGCAGGCTCAGCTCTTCAAAGTGTGTGTTTTGGAGTAACAGAGTATTCCGCATTTGGCTCCGAACTTTTAAAAATATGACATGATTACCATCTACTTGGTCCACTCAAAGATGCTTTACAAGTAGTCGTACGGAGATTTGTCTCCGACTCACAAGTGAGGAAGCAAACATGGCTTGCTGCTCAATCTAAAATCCTTCTATCTGAGGGTGTCTGAAAGCAGGTTCTATGAGGAACCAAGTACAAATTAAACATAGGGGTGGCTATGTTGAAATATCTCATTGTGAATTTTCTGCTGTTGTAATGAATCATGTATTTTGAGTGAACTTGCTTATTGACTTACCATGCTAAAATATAAAAAATCGAGAGTTAATGGACAAATGCAGCGTCCTTTCTATCTGCCCCTTCACTGCACAAGCGCTCGTCCCTCGGCCGGTGCCTGGCCGCCCCCGCGCCTCCGCGCGCGCCGCCGCCGCGACCGCCCTCGGGGGCGATGACGCGCCGACGCGCCGGCCAATGACGGCCGGCGCGGATGTGGGGCGGCGGGCGGGGACGCGCAGAACGCTTGTCGGACGGCAGGGCGGCGGACCGGCGGGGTAAAGGGGAAACAGTTCTGTTGTTGATTCCCGGCCTCCCCGCCGCACGCTTCGCCCACCGCCCGCCCCGCCGTCGCCCGCCGCTCCCCTACGCCCGAGCCCAACAGCGGCGCGCGCGGCCCCGCCGCCCGCAGGTAACACTGTCTCACCTCACGCACCGCACCACGCACCCCGACCGCCGCGCACGCACCCAAGCTCACGCACTCGCGCCGCCGCCGCCTTCTTCCTACGTACTACAGCTACTGCTAATATTGTGTGTAAATCCTGTCGCATCACCAGTGACAATAGTTTTGTTTTCCTGTGGTTTTGTGTCGCCCTCTCAAGGCTATTACTACACCTGGTTATCGGTTTTGTGTATCCTTGCTGGATTATTTAGGATATGCTGTGTAAAATGTGACAGATTGTTCATTTGATATTAAGGTATTGTTTGTACCGTGTAGTACAAATGATTCGTAAACTTCAGATGCAAGAAGACGACATATGTAATACATGATAGTTTGTTATTTTCATTCATTAATTATTTTGTAATTATGAAATTGTATGTTACATATAAATTGAATAAATACATAACATTAATCCTAAATGTAATACGATTCATATCACATTTGCTCCTTAACATAAGTTAAGTTAATTACAAATGTGGTGTGTGTAAAAGGGCACTTGCCAAAAAATTCACAAAATCAGTAATATATATCAAATATTGGATTTTCTATAATGCTTTAGATTCATTTTTATTGTTAAATTTCTAAAAAATGTTTCTTCGTATGTTAATACTACCTGTGTAATTGCCTGTGACATTAATTATTGAAGCTATTGTGAAATAAATTTCATTATGTAAATTTTTAAAATGCACATTTATTCTCACACATTATTTCATTAAAGGGTGGCATTTTTGACAAATTTAAATGAAAATTTCCATTTCTATCGATACAAATTTAGTCCCTTTTGGTTTTCTTATCAAGTAGTTGGAAGATGCGTTACTTTAATCTGCATTATCTCCCGAAATACAGGCAAAATAGAAAGATATCATAAATATAACCATTTCTTACTTTCACATGCATTTATATATCTAATAATAATTCCATGTTTTCTAAATTTGTTGGAATCAATGTCAGTCTTATGCAGAGGCGTATCCGTGATTTTGTAGGAAGGGGAGGTTAAATGATATATTGAATCACTCGTTAGTACAGAAAATTAGTGAATCTATATTTTGGAATATGTATCATTGGTTTGCGGGGGGAGGTGAATCTCCATGATCCCCCTTAGATGCGCCACTGATTATAAGCAAATAACCATTTCAGTATTATCTGTTAATTTAAAGTTTTTTTTTATTCTCTGGAACAAAACTTTGAATAATGCTGGAAGGAAGATTTTCGTTTGTGGAAAGTACTCCACGTGACCGTAAAAACGTTCCAGATGCGACCGCTTCAGTACCCAAATTGCAGAGATTTGGAGAACTGGAATTGGGAGAGTGATAGGGGGGAGTGCTCAGGAGGGGCCGGGATTGGCGGGCGCCAATAGAGCGGGTCAGTGGTCAACGTGTGGCTCAAATTCAAGACTGCCGACGGTCTCAACCACTTAAAACAATATTGAGCGCAAAATGATGGCTCGACAAGTCGCTTTGGAAGAGGGAGAAAAGGCAGTTAGGAGGGCAAGTGTTTGAAAACGGTAGCAGTATACCTTACTTCCTTTCTTTCATAGGTTGGTCGCAATGAGAAGACGCAAATTTTAATTTGCAATACGTTATTGAAAACATACATTTAAATTAGAAGCAATTAATGTTAACTAAATTTAGTTAAATAAAGAGCATACAATACTAAACCGAATGGATATGGATGTGATTGTTCAATGAATACACATCGCACGTTGATTCTAAAGAAAGGATGTACTGTTATCTAATTGCTGAAACAACAATCGGAATAGCCAGAAAATCATTATGGACTTACTTACAAGAAAACAATCCATGTTGACCTTTTCCGATTTAAAAAAAACTCTTGAAGGTATGAAGAAGTAAGTTTCACATTTTTTCTGCAGATGAACGTTTTAAAGAGGTGAATTACCCGCCCAAGAGCTGCGATTTTACATTTTTTTTAAGTTACATTTTTGGGGTAAAAGCATTTATACGTTTTTCGTCCTCTTTCTCTGCGTTTCATAAGAAGCAAACTACTTCCAATACAAAATCAGATTTCAAAAATGCTTTGTAATATAATCAAGAGAGAAAGTTAAAAAATATTTTATTTTCTTAAAAAACAAGTGTTTTTACTCTATTTAAAAAAATGTTTTTCCGGAGGGACGACTACCACAGTGATTTTATAAAAAAAGCACTAAAGACTTCATAAAACAATATATGAAATTTTCAACAACAGATGTTACGCACGAATACAAAATACGGCGGTGGTTTAATACCTTTAATCTAATTACTTAAATCTCATTACATAACAATTATAGTTTTTTCAAGTAAATATTTCTATTTATGAAAAGAAAAAAATACGTGATTTATCTCTTTATTTCTTCAAATTCAACAAAATTGGAGATAGGTACCTCCAGACATTACCTTTTTAATCATAGGAGAATAAAACAAGTCTTGGGAAGCTTGTAATATATTTATATGAATTATGATTTATTCTTCATTCACAAATCGCTTTGTAAATCTGATATGTCTTTAGGTAAAATAATCGAGCAGTTGACTTTTCATAATATAATTAAAACTCGAGTATTTGTTTCGTTATTTTTACATTTACCTGAGATAGAATGTCTAAGAAGATTTTTCATTGTTTTAACTTAAAATCCGAGTTCGCTTTCTGCCGTATTTGAGAATGGATTAATAATACTTTGCAATGTAATAATTACTTATGTGTCAAAGTTCAATTATCTCTATAATGTTCATGATTATCACAACAGTAAGCAGACCTGGTACTAAAAACGAACTTTCTATTGTCATCTGTGCTTTTTCTTTCATTGGTTTTCAAGTTTTAGAGCCCTGAAAACAGTCGTATTAAGTAGTACTTCTGAAGTGAAGAGTTGTTCCGACTTTGTAGAGGGCGGGGATGGTGACCCGATGGAAATATATATATCAGATGGACTCGTGTCACACGACGCATGATTCGCAGGCCCTTGATGTCTTGCACGTCAACTACTCTGCTGGCAACCTCTCCACCGGAACATTACCAGGAATTTCATGGAATGTTATCGTGGTCGAGCCCTTGATGACACTGCCGCCAATGGGGTGGGGAAAATGAGATATCATTAGTAGCGAGAATGAGCGTGTGGCCGGCTAGGAAATATTGACACTCGGCAAACTTGTCCATTTCTTGTTGAAACCGCGGCGACGAACTCTCAACAAAAGTTTACTTGAAGTATTGCATCAAAATTGCTCGCCAATCGACACCAAGGGACGCGTGTACTCGGTATTATTATTTTCATATTAGTATCTCAATTTTTCACGGTTGTGTGTTTTCTTTCTCATGAAACTTGTGTATTATAATGTTTTATAGTATATGCTATCCTGTTTTTCTATTGATCGTGCTTGAAGTGAATTAAGCCTGAGAATCTTCGTAATGCATGATAATTTTCCTCGAGGAGGTAATTTGAGTTAGTGAACATTTAACAGGAAAACGGAGACTGTTCCTCTTTTGATAAATCGTCATAATTTCATGACCTGAGAAAACGATTGAGAAATTTCAACTCAACTAGAATGTCGACGCACACATTTACGTTCCAAAACTTATCAATAGATATATTTTCAATTATAATAATAATTATTAATTAATAATGAATAGATTCGGCCTGTGTTAAATTAAAGACGTGAACGTATCTGCTGAACTGATATTCAGGATTTTGACTCATTATGCGAGGCAAAATTGTATTTCAACTTCTATTTACCGAAATTGTTTTACAGGAAAATCGTATGATGAACATTCAAGCTGTTTGGCATGCCGATGAAATGTTGAGCTTTTCTCATGTGAAATCGGTCATTTGAACGCTATTTCCTTGTTTCAGAGTCGCAGCATTCAGGCACAGTCGACGACGAGAGAGAACCCGAAGACGACGACTTAGCAGCGCGTTGCCCTGAGTGCAGCAAAGAACTGCCCGACTTCGACCGGTGAGTACCTCCCTTCAACGAATCCAGAAAGACGTGCACTCCACGAATCACCTGTGACCTAATATTACCGTCGTCCTTCTTTAAAGAATCATATACTCTCGATGACAAAGGATACAGAATTATTATTATGTCACAGACACGATTGTGATTTGCGACCTTCAAAAGGTGATAAAAGAGTAAATAACACCAACTCTTTGATTTATACTTTTTTCATTAGTATTCTGATTACACTCGTAGTAAGTATCAAACAGGGGAGGAAGACTAAGTGACAAAAACAGTGTTTGAGAGTTGTTTAGAATCCGTTCTGTTCTCCAATTGCATTGAAAAAATTATCGATGAACCAATTTGTAAAATCAATAAAAAAGAGTTCTGAATTGTCAATGCTTTACAAATTCTCGTAGATGATTTACAAATTGGAATCGCTCTTTTCTCATTTCGTCACTTGTACGAGTATTTTTAATTCGGTTTTGGTAACAAAAGAATAAGCATCTCGTCAACGACGTAATCATATGGGTGTTGAGAAATATATTATTTGTGTTTTCCCGTTGTTTCACTTTTCGCTTTCGAGATTAAGTTGTTCTGGTTGTATAAATGTCAGCATTTTCCTAACCGAAGAATTCGCCCGCGTTTCGCTGAACGGGAAGAATCGGATAACATTTTTCAAAGGTTTCAACATCCAAAATGAAACAGGCACGCCAAGTACAGGCAAGAATTTCGAAACATCGAGTGGTTGGTAATATGTAGTAGCATTTTTCTTGATACAATATTTGAATCATTTCCACTTCAGTCAGAGCGTTCAATGCTTATTGACGCCGGAAAAATCTGAGAACTTTTGTGTCATGACGAGCGGTATAAAACTTCTAAATTCCTCTCCAAGGCTCGCCAAGGCCACGTAATCCCCGAGTACTCTCGCGACGTTTCGTAGCTCGAGCTGGCTGCGAGCGCGGCTGCCGGGCGACCTTGAGAAGCGAGAGCAGGCGCCGGCTAGCAGCCCGCGGAGCTGGCGCGCCGCGCGTGCGGTGGCGCCGCAGGAGGCTCTTTCGCGCACACGCGCGCAGCGCACACGCGCGCCACCCTTCCGGATTTTGTAGACTGTCTTTTAAAAATGTATTGAAACAAATTTCCCACACCGACATATGACAAACACGAAGCACCTTATCGTGGTTAATGTTCTGCTTGTGTCGTGACCGCACTCCACTGAATTGTGTTATCGAGTCTTCTTAAGTCTGTGTATAAAATAATAAGTTAGTATTTCCTCTTTGTGATAAGTCTAAAACTCCGAAGCATGGTTTCTTTACTAATATTTCAATTAGTTTGCATTGCGACCGAATCGTAATGCATTCGCAGATGCCGCATTACATCTTTCAAAATAAGACAGTACAACTTCTAATCATATTTAGGACAGCGATATGCGTTCTTCCGAGACCTTTCCATGTCATAAAGTTTTCAGAACTAGCCTTGAAAAAGGCTTAATTTTTTTTGTAGTCTCTTTTCACTAATGTGACCATGAAATAATAATGGTGTGCACTGAACTTCCTGAGCGAAGTGGAACGCGTAATATAATACCATACCTGCTTTTGTTTGAGGCACTTTACAAGTAACACATAAACCTTGGAAAATACAGTATTGTAAAAGACGTTCTGTTCTATTCAGTAAAATACTTTTGAAATTATCAGATATCACTAAAGATACGCGAAAGTCATATAGACAAAACACATTGTTATGATACGTTTAATAAAGCAATAATATGCTAGAAAGATTGATGTGTGGGTATGAGTAATTATTAATTAAACAGCAGGCAGAGCTGATTGATCCAAAAATAAAAGAATGAAGAAGATATGTTACTATTATTGCGAAGATTAGAAAGCAAAACTGAATGATTTTCTGGAATATATGCGTCATGCTCAACATTCTCAAGAATTTAAAATTCAAATATGTAAGAGCTAAAGGAAAACGATTCCAAAATTGTATAATCAAACTACTCGTTGAAGAATAAACGGTAAAATTTGACACATTTCTAATTAATTTGAATTAAACAGAAATGGATTCATCAAAGACAGGAGTATGTAATTAATTTCTATAATTTTTTATATTTAGATTGAGAAAAATTATTTTGTGACATCTCTTTGGAGATCGAGAATTACTGTGTTTTTAACAGAGGTCTAAAAAATTTTTTCTTTTATAGATTATTGGCCCCAAACGTTTTACAAATGTTTTCAAAAGCGAAATAAAATACATAAGTATTCCGGAGCCAGCGTTTTGTATCTATTACGTCCCAAGCACTGGGAACGTTGCATGTGTGGGAGGAAACGGGCTCATCGTCGCCACTTGAGGGCGCTGCCGGCCGCCGCCATTTGCCGCTCGGCTGCGGTCCCGCCCGCAAATCGCCGAGAAGTTCGGCGCTGCGTGACCGGCCGGCGTTTGGCTCCGTAGCGTGCTCCCCCGCCGCCGCCCCCGCTGCCCCCGCCGTCGCCGCTGCCTTTTCTCCCGGGCACAAGCCCATGTCGCATCCCCAGAAGCTCCGCCTCGGTAGCCCACGATTAACGCTCACACGCGAGTCGCAAACTCTCAAACGTATCGGCCAGAGGCTTACGGAAAGGAAGGTACCGATGAACAGTATGGGAATGAAATCTGAATGAGTGGTCGTGGTTTTTAATTGTGAATCTACTGAGTGTTGTATGATGCTGGATTTTTGAAAATAAGGTATTTGTTTACAAAAAATATTGAAACATTTGTATTTCCTCCGAAATTTTCGTTGTTGCGAAACAACTTAGGAGATCCTCCCTCATGTTCCATTCTTTCTAAGGCGAATTTCTTGCTCTCTATCAGCTCTCCCCAGCTACTACATGTCAACAATAAACATGGATGACTGTGGGGTTAACGGTGAATGGGCTTTTGTAACACTTCTTCAGGAATTAACAGCTAAATGAGTGTTTTCTTTTGTCCTATATAAGTTATGGAGTTAAAGATTTAACTTCATAATGAACTATTAACAGAAGAATCGGCAGCATGGTTTCGTATATCCTCTGCTAGTATTTACGACGTGAAATTGAACAATTAGTTTTTCCTAGGCATGCAATCACCCCTTATCTTACAACAACAGAACAATCATACCAGTTCAAACATTCAACTCATGTTTCCTTGAGGAAAAAAACTAGAATTTCGCTAAAATATTAGGTTATAATATTTCATAAAATTAAATTAACATTTTATGGAACATGTTAATTGGAAAAACAATTGACATACGACCACTTGCAAATAACCATTCTTCACCATAATAATACCACATCTGAAAGTTCCTGACAGTACTTCAAGTGTAAGTGTTCTGGAACCTTTTTCTTAATTCATTTATAATAACATTATATTAAATATGTGATTAAAACAACACTTGCAAGAGAAAAAAATAATAAATTACAGATTTCACATAGTCCGATTTCTCAGGAAAGACTGAAAAAGTAGTTTAGGTCCTAGCAAAACCTATAAATACATCTGCGTCGTACCTGATAACACGGCAACTGGAAAGAAAAAATAAATATAATTACCACTCATAAGAAATAAATATAATTACCACTCGTAAGTTCTTACTCTCCCTCTTCATGTAAGACTACTTCTTTCCACGTGACCAGGTGATACGTCATCCAATACCTTCTCGCAGAAAAGAGAATCCCCTATCTCTCTCGAGGTTGCGCGAACCCCGCTCGCGAGTCTTCCGGCTAGGCGCATCCGACACCTTTACCTCCGCCCCACCCCTGTTGCCCCCTCCCCCTCCGCGCGAGGCTCGCTTGGCCGAAGACCCTGCTGACATTCAGTGTCAAGATCGCCTTCGAAGCAGATGCAGTCATACGAACATGCAAGACGTTGCTACTCTGCTGTGGTTCTACAGGAAGTTCCATTCAATATGGTACTCGACTTTCTTCACTGTGGTTATGGCAGCCAGGCATTACCGCCCACGCGATGTCAGGTTAGATTACAGTTCTTTCAGAAACATGTGGTCAATTGTAACGTGTTGTGCATCAATCGAGTAAGTCGCTGGAAGGGTAAAGATATGGGTAATGCATCCCTAAATGCCTCTTCACCTACGAGGTAGTATCATTATATAGAACATTTTTTTACATATTCTGCTTAAGAATGGAAACGTGCTTAAAATTCTCAAATTGTGTCATGCAGTTTTGATTAATCCAGTACAGGAGTTGAATCAAATGTGATCGATAAAAGTTTTAAATAATGTTGAGAATATTGACTTCATTGCTTTCTAACAGATTTCCTATAAATGTCCAATATAGTTTTTCATATGCAGGAATCTTTGGAAAAATCATTATCACTTGGTGAAATTCTTTATTTTATTAAAACTCCAATGTATATATGGATAGTATTTCATTACTAAGTGGCAATCGTTAGTAAATTTCACAAAATATTCTGTTCCCGTAGATAGGAAAAGTTTAAATGTTTTGAATCTAGAAATGAAGACCGGTATATGATTTGAATCTAGAAATGTAGACCGGAAGTATATATTTTCATTAAGAACATGAAAATAATATAATTTTGATTTTAGAAGTGGACAGTCGTATGTATTACGCCTGGATTACAAAATTTCACGTTTACTCTTTTGCTATTTATTACTTTTAAAGGTTAAATACAACGCTGTTCTTGGATATAATATATATCAATTTTCAAATGGATAGTTTTCACTTCTACTCGCTACAGCCGTCACAATTTCAGTATCGGTAATCATTCGTTCTACAACATCTATTTGTAATAAAATATACGGTTAATCTGCATTCACTATTTGAAAAATTCAACAATTTATAAAAGCTACACTTTTATTTAGATTAATTTATTTTAAAATGGCTTTCGAATTATCAAATTCTGATGTACCAGTGTTACCTAATAATGTAAACAATACAAGGTCAAAATGAGCCGCGCATAGTCGTGTATTGAAAGAATGATACCCTGACCTTGCTACTGTAACACTCTTTCTGAATACAACCCTCTCCTATC